CCGCATGCAGGCGCTCACAATTACAGAATTCAGATCCCTGACTTAAAGGCTTCCGTAAAACCCTAATTTGAAAGGATTCATCTGGTTCCAGCTTAAAACTCTACAATTCACATCTTATCTTCATGTAAAACCCACATAACTTGCGGCAGAATATTTAGTACTTTGGCTTTAATCCATTACTCATATGCCCAGCTAGTGCTCTTTCATGCTGGCTGTGGCTGTTTCGTGTGTGTGCATGTATGTATTATTTTTTAGCTTGTCTACATGCCACTGTGGTTAACAATTCACCTGAATGTGGCCAGTGAAGCAAGGTGAGATTTTGTGGTCTGTGCCAATCTAACATTGCAAAATACAGAGAAATTGCATAAGTCAGGGATGGCAGGATGTAAATGAAAACTCTTGCTTTGCAACACAACATTCTTACAACTACTGCTGTATCACATTTTACAAAATGAAAAGAAATCCCTTTGCTTCCAGTGGTTGTAGTGCCTCCTAAGTATTTTCTCTGTTTTCTCTGTTGCTTTTTGTGTATTATAATGAACACACTATTCTATAAAGAAACAAAACATGATAGGGTATAACAAACAGAGAGCAAAACTTGTCTATCCTCTCATAGAACGTTGTGAAAGAAGTAGAGAACTGGGTATAATGAATCAAGTGTATTCTCTGAGAACTTACAGGATGGAAAACTTAGAGAGTAAAAGCTGAATGTTTTATTATCCCAGGTGGGTGCAGGTGGAACCTGGAGTAGTTGATACATGCGTGCTCCTTGCCTGGGAGATCAGTGGTTTTATAGGACCCTGATTCATGAGACTGATGCCCCGTAGACTCCTCGTGAAAAATACCCTGTGATCCAAGTGCTCAGACCTGCTGGGCTAGGGGCCTGCTGTTTCTACTAGAAAAACAAATCAGTATGATTATTTTGTAAGCTGGGTCTCTTTTGGGTCCTTCCAACTTGATCACAGTGGAAAACTTAAAGACAGGTCCAAGAAAGCATCAAAAGTTATATTAAAAGTATGAAAAATAGAGTAGTTTTGAGAAAAAAAAAGGTGGAAGTGGCTGTGAGATAGAGGAAGCTAGACCAGCTTGTGGTATGGTGGGTAAGGGACTGGGTTCCCACATGGCTGACTGTGGGGCTCAAGTCCTGGTCCCAGCAGCTTGAAAATCATGCTGAGTGGGTATCAAAATCCTAAAAGAATGAATGGACAAAAAGTAATTGCTGCATGACCATTCCCCACACGGGTGCTTTCTCACTCCCCAACCTACTGTTTTCTTGGCCTTTCTCCCTCTCCCTCCAGTAAGCATACACACCCTCTAGCAGATTAAAAATAAATTATTTCTGCATTTGACATGGCAGTAGTGTTTGGTAGCATATCTTTCTGCTTTGGTATATGGAGTCTCTGTCCTGTTTTTCATCTTCTGAACTTCATTTATCTGGGATGTGGACATGCACATGAAGGACCTTAAACTCTTAAATTGGCCCAGCGAACTGCTGTGAAGCAACTCTCATGCAAAATTTTGTTGGACTGTTGGAGCAATGGAAGTCTAGAACTGTTCAATACTACGTAAGATTTAGCTCAAGTGTAACTACTTTCAGTATTTATACAAATAAGAAGTGCCATTTCTTCCCTGTTCCTTCAACTTTTGGAAACCAAACTTGCAAATTCTCTAGTGATGTTTTTGATAGATTTTTAGCAACTGTGGGAAACCATCCACAAACCTGATCATCTTTCTTTAAAATTCAGTCATAGTAAAGATAACTCAAACCTTATTACAGAAATATTTTTTCCAAGGAATTAAAGAATAAAAATGGCCTAAAGCAAAAAGTGATCCCAATGTGGAGTTTTATGAGTTTGTAATTCAACATTTTGACATTCCTATGAATTATCTCATGGAGCTTTTGCTGAAATTCAGAGATACGAGAAGTTCACAATCTACCTTTGTACACAAAATGTGACTGTATGAGTATTAGTAGTGACAAATCCACAGTGACCTGGACTGACCACATTAATGCTCAGAGCTGGGTCTCCACATTTCCTAGGAGAAATGAAATCACTCATCTCTTGTGAGAAAAATATTAAAAATTTCACCATTTTGGGATTGCAGTTATCAATGTAAAGCACTTAACACTTACTAATTAAAATTCCCTAGTTAATTTAAATAAATAAAAAAGAAAAGAAAAAAAGAAAAGAGCTCTACGTATTTGAAGCTCTACGTATTTGAAGGACTACCATAGGAAGAATGTTGTGTGATCCCTTTACTGAGGGGAGAAATCATGTACCTCTTCCTGGAGATCCTCCAAAGACTTCTGATTACAGTGACAATGAACTTCAGACCCTTTAACCTCTCTTACAAAGCTCAGCAAGAGATATGCCATCTTCTCGCTTTGCTAAACCTCATTTTACTTCCCACATCTTGTCATTCTTCAGCAGATGACCAACCTTTCCAGGCCCAGGACTGAGGGCCATCTCAGGATGTAGGACTCCGGTGTTAAAACAGGACAGTTCCAGGCAGGCTGAGATGGATGACTGGGCACCCTGTCCTCTAGGCTCATGGGTCATCTTCACTTTCAGTGTCTCCTCTTTTAACATTTCTCTACCTGAAAAGCTTTCCTTCTGAGTGGAATCTTGGGTCCAAATCTGAAATCTGTGTTCTATGTGCGTTTCCTTATTTTGTTTTTCATTTGCCTGCTGGTAAATCAAAAGCAAGGAAACACCTTAACCATGGAGTTCTTGGTACTTTCCTCCTCATACCATGGTATGGTTTATGGTTCCAAGGAAAAGGTTTGGTAATCATTTCCTAAGTCGCTGCAGTTCCTGGTAAACCTGTGATCTGGAGAGCATGTGTTTTGATCCAGTAGTTCCTGTCACCTGGAATCCTGAGATAAGTGTGTGGGTGTGTCTGTGTATGTGTGCCTACAGATAGATGCTTACAGGAGGTGGATGTGTGAGGGAAGGTGGGGCATGCTTCTATTTGGTTTTCTAATGAAATCCAGTAAAAACGTATCTTGGCTTCCAAAATATCTCTCAGACACTGCAATAAACTTCAATACTTCTGAGGAAGAGATTACTACGATTTTTATCAAAGATTGCCTAGTTATGGCAAAGATAGGAATATCGATAAATTCCAATTTAATAGGGTTCTATCTAGAAATCTTTAGTTTTAGTATGATTAGCAACCTGAATTTTCAATCCTGAGGATCCTAAGACTGAGCCGAGGTGTAGATCAGATACTGAGGTAACATAATTTTTCCACCATCTCAGTCGCTGTAGAAGACCATCTGTCTGTTTTTCCAACTCTCTGGCTGGAGATGTCATGATTCACACTTTACATAATTTAATCAGTATCTAAAAGATACCAAGTTGCTTACCCAAGGTCACATATTATTTGTGAACAATGTAAATAATAATTCTATGTTTGTATACTACTATGTATGTAAAAAAAGTTATTGTCACATAGTACTTCAAAAAGTTTGCGGATAGATGTAAGTAAAGCATGAGTTTATTTTGGTACAAAAAACTTGGCAATCCATCCATAGTTTTTCATTGAAGATCTCTTGTATTTACACTGTCAGTGAGACAGTGATCTTTAACTGAAGGAGAAAATAAATCTAGAATTTAAACAAAATCTTCTAACTAGTATAGGTTCAGCTCGTTAGTTTTTAAGTTTGTGCCTTTATCCTAAGGGTATCAGGCTTTTACTCTTGAAGAAATATGGTATAATCTCTGAACTCTGACCCAGCCTATGAGATGATGACTGAACACATCTAGGACAATAGCAGAAAATTATAAGTTAATGGACTCCAGAAATACTACATTGAAGTATTGCTTCTGCTATTTTACAACCTCATTTAAATCTCAGTTTAAATAGTTTTAAAATCTGGTGAGGCAACATGGATGGAGCTGAAGGAAATTATGCCAGGCGAAGCCAGTCAGGCAATGAAAGACCAATACCACATGTTTCACTCATTTGGGAAGCTGGAAGATTTGATCACATAGAAGGGGTGAGTGGAATGTGGGATACCAGAAGCTGGCAAGGAGGGAGACAGGGACAACTTGGTTAACAAGTATAACATCGCAGTTAGATGAGAGGCATAAGTTCCAGAGTGCTATAGTACAGAGGTCTCCAGTTAACAGCAGTTTCATGTATAGTTCAAAATAGCTAGAAGAGAGGATTTGGAATGTTCCCAACACAAAGTAATGATAACTGTTTGAGATCACGGTAATGTTTAATATCCTGATTTGGTTATTATATATTATATTCATGTATTGAACAATCATACAGTACCCCATAAATATGTGCAACTGTTAAGTAGTAATTAAAACTTATACATAATATTATTTTAAATAGTGATGGCAATTTTAATATAATCTGCTTCTATATTCCAAGGTGATATCTCATGAAAATGAGATGTTTCCTGAAAATGGCTTTTATATTCTTTCTGTGAACACAGTCCCCATCACTGAAGATACAAATGTAACTTATCCAGCTATGATAATCTTTGAAAAATTATTTTTTTATCTTTCACATCCACCTGTTTTTTCTGAAGTTTGATGATTAGAATATAGCCTGCTGAATAATACCAATGATGTATTATAAACCATTTTACCTACAAGCATAATAGTTAGAATCTAGGACAATACATGTGGTTATTATTTCAAAATTTAAATGCCCCCTTAGTAATAATTAAATATGTGTGAATTCAGCTATACCTATTCAACTATATAATTAATTTTTTTCAGTTGATTTTGAATTTAATATTGAAAACCTAAAATATTAGAGCTGGGCAGCCTCTTTATTTATTCATCTTCCTTTCTGGCTGTTTGCTTTTCCAGCCAGGATAACATTGGTTACCAGCAGGAACATCACTAGAACTCAGGACTCCCGACTCCTAGTTGAGGTTTTTCTCCTTCGTACACATTAACATATACTTGACCTTCTACCACTCCTTTCTGGTTGATCCAGGCATGATTGTTACATCTTCTGAAATGTTTTTCCAGGTACTTTGCAAGCAACCCGTGCTTTGATGGTAGTTGGCATCTTGCTGGGACTCATAGCGATCTTTGTGGCCACGATTGGCATGAAATGCATGAAGTGCATGGAAGACGATGAGGTTCAGAAGATGCGGATGGCTGTCTTTGGGGGCATGATATTTCTCATTGCAGGTGAGAGAGGCCTTGTCTCCCTTTCACTTTACAAACTGTCCCCAGTATAGTTTGAGATCTGGTTTTTTAGTTTATTTAGATTATGGTGGATTCCCTGCACTTGAATCAATTTCCATCCCTTTGAAATCTGTAGATATGGACTTTTTAGTCCAGTTGACTTTCATGTTCTCAAAAAGAAACCAAATGAAAATTTGAAATCTGTGCTCACATTGTACAGGTCTATTGGTCGAGATGTCAGAGGCCAACTGGTTTGTAATCTCACCAGGTGAAAAATGATGTTTGCTATCTAGCAAACACTGAGGAACAATTCTATGCAATTCTGAAAACTTCTATAGTTTCTTCACAGGGAAAGAATATAGAGAATAGTGAGAGAATATATGAATCACATAGTTCTCTGAGGGATATACAGGACTGGGACTGTTGGAGGAAAGTGAGGGCAACATTGCAGATAGGCAGAGCTTACTCCTGAATTAGACAATACACTTAGAGATCAATGGAGAGGAAGACCAGAAAGAGTAGAGGTAAAATGTTGAAATGGCAGGAAGTTAGGTTAAATGAGTTACGAAAGAAAGCAATACAGAAACTTGTTAAAAAAAGTTTTCAAAACATAATATGATATTTCCCATAGAAAACAAAGAGGTGTATGTTGCTTTATTTAAGTGTTGATTAACAAGTTACAGTATGTGTCCTTTGAAAAAACAAGAGCCAAATGACATGGATAGCACCATTTCAAAGCTTTATATAAGACATTTAAATTATAATAAATTTAAAATATAATATATAAATATATATACACTATATAGTATACTTATATATATGCTATATCTTATTTATCTACTAATATACTATACTATATATCCATCTATATAGAGTCTATATATAATATCTCTTTATATTACATAATATATAGATCTAACAATAGACTACTATGTATAACATGTATTTTATGTAATTATATTTTACATATAGTGCTCTATTGTTTTTGAAAATGGTACTAGTGATGTAAATCTAAAAAGCTAGAATTAGATTTTCTTTTCCTATTGTTTTTTGACAGAATACCTTAAGGATTTTTGCAATAGTATATAGCATTTGGATTTAATCAATAGTGGGGGGAGAATGTCTGTGGCTTTGCAAAAAAAAGTGGTTCAAATGACCAGTCATTCAGTTTATTCCAACACAAATGAAGTCCTCTCGGATGGACAGTGTTTTATTACCAACAATTCAATCTTACATCAAAGGTTACAAATAAACTCACTCCGCCACACCCTTCCTTTACTTGCCTTGTATTAACTCCCCTATGCGACCTCATCACTCCTACTTCACTGCAGGGACTTCTTCAGGAGTGAGGGTCGAGGTTCAAGAGTATTCACATGATCTATTTAACCAAATAATGCAATAGCATTTTCTGCATGTTTTAGAGACAATCATGCAGATTATTTGTCATGATTTTTGGAGTATAAAAGGAAAAGCATAGCAACATTTAATTTTTATATTGAGGAATTCTTAGGATTCCTATTAAAAAAAGTTATTACTTTATTTGGATTTAAAAGTTGAAATATTTTCTACTGATAAATGGTGAAATGAGTACTTTTGACTGGTCTCCCTGGTACTACCGAATGGAAAATTGAGACAGTGTTTTATAAATTGTTGTGAAGCGGCATCCTTAGCAAACCTCAAGGTAATACCTAAGTCGGATACTGCCTTAGTCAGTAGGACAGTAAGAATCTGGGCATTCAAGTCCGGTGTGAAACGGGTCTTGTCCTCCCTATCTAGCTGTTTTCCTTCTTTCTCACCCTGCAGAAATGTAAATTTTGAGTTCGATCAAAAATAGTTTATCAAACAACCCTATGCTACTAAGGACATCGGTTTTATCAAAAATAGTTTAGTCCACTAACATATAGCAGTCCCTTTGGTGTAGATGTTAAGCCTGAACCTGCTGAATTGTGTCCGCAAAGCATTATTTGTCCCAGTGATCTTGAACTGTAAGTAAATAAAATGATATCAATAGCAGAAACTATGCTAAACTCCAACGTAATGTTTTCATTTATTTGAAAAGAAGACTTGTAATAAATCATATTTGAACCTCTAATCTTCCTGATACTGAAATTATACCATCAACACAATGGATGAAATTTAATTCTCTTCAAGTACATTTAGGTTTCAAAGGCTGTACATGTATGCTCGTGTTCCACAGTGATTAACTGTCTTTTGTTTCGGATCTCTGTAGGTCTGGTGATTTTAGTAGCCACTGCATGGTATGGCCACAGAATAGTTCAAGAGTTCTATGACCCCATGACCCCAGTCAATGCCAGGTAATGCTATTCACACCAAAATGGCTTGCTCTCTAAGGAAATGCTTTTTTTTTTTTTTTGATGTTGTGTAAGATCCTACTAGTGTCAAGTGCTCCTAGATTTGGTTAAGAATTTTAGGGACCAGCAGTTGGCGTAATGGCTATGTCGCTGGACTCCCATGTAGTCAACTGTAGTCGACCGCAGTTCGTGTCTCAGACCCGGTGGCTTAAAACTCACGCCGGGCGTGTGTGCATGTGTGCCCAAGATCCCAAGAGGAGAACGGAGGAGAAGGGGTTGCTGTGTGGCCACCCCCCACAACGTATTTCTTCAGTATGCTGAGACACCACTTTGAAATTGTATGTTCTATCGCTACTATAAAATTTACTTTACCAAGGTCATCTTTGTTGTGCAAGTTAAGGAGCCGATTCTTGGCTCTCATGTGACAGCACTCTTTGATCAGGAGCAAGGCTCTTGTTCCCCTGTCTTCACATCTTTAAAGCCTAATAACTACATTCAGAGTCAGGATGTTAAGATGTAATTATTGTTTGTTAAGTGCTAGGATGAATGGATGAAAAATTTCAGTGTCGGAGGAGATAAGGAGTGCTTCTTTTTATATCATCACCCACGTGTAGGAGAACACATACTGCAATGATTGTGTTGGAGCCCATCCCATAAGATTTACGATATAGAGACAGAAACTGGGAGGTCAATAGGCTGAAATCTTACCAGAGTAATAATACCAGTAATGCATGTGAAAGCACTTTATAAATTGTTAGCCACTGTGAACTTGGTATGTACGCTATTGCATGTGATCCTGAAAGCAATCCAGTGAGGCAGGATGGATTGTCCTGCTTCGAGAAAAGGAACTGTGAGAAAGAGGTGAGGATGCTATCCACAATGGCAGCAGTTGAGAGTCTGCATCTAGATTCACCCCCAGCCATGTTCCTTCTACAGTCAGCCCTTCTCTATCTCTATTGTCCACAGTGGGTAAGAAAGAGAACCTTACCCCAAGAGTCTAGCTTAATAATGGTTGGAAACGTCATTACATATTTTTCTGTGTTTTTCTATACAAAAGTGCATCATGATTTTTCCGACAACCCAATACAACTACCTAGATGAGCTTAATCAAGAATGGCTCGTGAGCTGCCCAGAAGTCTTTTTTATAAAACCTGGGATAAAGTATTAAAAATCCTAATAATTTCCATCACATGCTAGTAATTCCTGTACATACTGTCATTGCTACTTGTTGATATCATGACTTTAAACTTTAGCCTAGGAATCATGGCGTAAACCCTACTTCTAAGTACATAAACATACTTCACCGTCTTCTGTACATGGAAAAGCCTTTGGAAATATTTGTGTGCTTAACCTGGTATTTCATATCATGTGCCTGATCTCCTATTGCAAATTATTAACCATTGCACTGTAACATTCTTCTGTGCATGTGTTAATAAGCCTTGAAATACTTCCCAAGTGATCATGGGAATTTTTTTCAGTGGTGAAGATGACCATGAGTATAATACGGATTTTCTTGCTGAAATATATTAGAAAGACTGCCAATGATTGATAGATTAACACATGCCTTGTTTTTTCTAGGTATGAGTTTGGTCAGGCTCTTTTCACTGGCTGGGCTGCTGCTTCTCTGTGCCTTCTGGGAGGTGCCCTACTTTGCTGCTCTTGTCCCCGAAAAACAAGCTCTTACCCAACACCACGGCCCTATCCAAAACCTACACCTTCTAGTGGGAAAGACTACGTGTGACACAGATGCATAAGGAGACAATTCTGTTGGAACAAACAGAAAATGGACATGGAAATACTATCAGTGACATTTGGACCTTAGCTTTTTGACTATTTCAATCTGAACTGTGGTATTACAAAAACAAAACCATATGTTTTTTTTTAAATGCCCACTATTAAAAATGTCTCAGTCTTGTTGTATCTGCTTTCCTCAATACCAGAGGGAAGCCCTTTCCATTTGTATTACTGTTTCCCACCAAGTGATTATACTTGGGGGGAGGGGAGGGAGTGTTCTTTAAATATATATAGATATGTATATATACATGTTTTTCTATAAAAATTAGTATAAAAAAAACTCTTGTTCTTATTATGTTGGTACTAGCATACTTAAAATATCTCTAAAGTAGAAAAGTATATTTATCTCCATATTGATTAAAATAAGTTTTTGGTGTTTTTTGTCTCTTTCTCTGTATGTACATATATAATAGATCAAGTATCACTTACTGTCTTGTATTAGCTCTAGTGTCTTTGCCATAAAACTTAATTTACCAAATACACATTTTTTTCAATTCTTCATGTCTGCCTTTTTTATATACTTATTCTTTTTTCTTTTCTCTCTGTCTTTTTTTTTAACCATAAACTTATAGCACTTGCTTCATTGTTAGGATCTTATTATTAGTTTTTGTTTGTTTGTTTGTTTTGCTAGGTCTATCTCTAACTCAGAACCTAATACATTTCCTAGCTAATGTATTAATTACTAAAGCCAAGAAGAATCTTTTATAATCGGAATTTTGGGAAGAAATCTTCTGCACACTCAGAATGGTATATTTCTGCCTTCTCATACAGTCCCTGTACTCTGACCTATAGCTCTTTGGTTTGCTTTGAAAATATTTGCCTAATTGAGTTCCTGTGTGCTACTCACCCAGGTGTTGTAACACAATTTGATTGATTAAATTTTTAAAGCTACTTATTCATAGCTGTATATTCCCCAAATTGTATTTTTCTTCTTCTGCCCGAACTGTATTATTTTCCCATATGTAATTACCATGTAGTTTACCTCCTCCCTGGTAGGAGGTATGAAGTGCTAGACTTTTGGGAGGTATAATCTGGTGACAAATATTCTCTCTAGAGCTGTAAGCAAGTCACTTAACCTTTCTACCTCTTTCTCATCTGTGAAGTTGAGATAATGATACTTACCGTTGGGAGAGGTAGTGTGAGTATTAATTATTTGATATTGCTCTCATTCTTTGAACATGACATGAGCACCCAAGTGATGTTTTTATTTGCTCAATTGACTGTTTAGAAGTCAATGAACAAAACTTACATACACGCCTTTATGTCATTCAGTAGCTTGCTTTCTCCCTGGTCTGTTTCTTTTCTTTCACTTGTACCTAGCATATTATTGGTACTCTGTGACATTTCAACAACTGCTCTTACTTTACCAGTCTGTACAAAATGTTATTTCACTTGAAAAAGATGATGTAGTGAAAAGGGAGTTGGCTTTTGTGTCTGGAGACCTGGATTTGAGTCTTAGTGCTATTAATCACTGAGTGTAGGCAAGGCACTTAGCTGCCCTAGATTTATTGCTTCATCTATGAAAAGAGATTTCTAATTCCTGAACTGCCTATTTTACAAGCATGTTGTGGGGACCCAAGGAGAAGAGATACATGTAAATGTGAAAAATGCTGAACTAGGGGGAAATTAAGGAGTTTAAGTGTTAAGATTTGGGAGTTACTTTTTGAGGGACTGAAAACAGAAATCTTAAGAAATAGGTTTCATGCATCTGTCCTCAAGTAATGAGACACTAAAGTAAAATTAAGCTTACTCAACGAAAAGGATTCTAAGGAAATCTTAGATTCTTCCTTCAGTATGACCAGATGCTTTTCATAGCTAAGCAGGTATAATGGAGGGGAAAAAAAAAAAACCCTAAGTGTTGTCAAAGCCAGCAGTGTAATAACGACAAGGGTATGTGAAGAGCAATCTGATAAGTGATGCCCCAAAGCTCTTGCTATTGACTGGCTGCTAAGGATAGTTCAGTGAGAAACAGCCCTTCCTAGTTAAATCACATGGGAAAAGGACTCTGTCTTATGAGGATTTGGACTTAATACATTTTAGTGTTCCCATAGTTGAGATTCTACATTTCTGGATGTTATGATTCAGAACCTTTGTCAATTACATAGATCCTAATGAGTGTAAATGCACATGGATACCAGTTGCTAAACTCTGGAAAAAAATTGAGACCAGAGTTACCAACGTAATTGCTATGCCAGAATTTATCCAATTTTGATCATTTGTGCCCCACTACTACACCTTATAACAGACCTATAGATATTCTGGCGTTTTGTAGTGGCAATTTGTATAACGTATCACTCTTTCTTTTTTTAAATTTAATTTATTGTTTTCTCTCTTTTATTTTCTTATTTTTTTTTTACATTCAATCACTGTATTACCTTCACAGCGTACAAAATGGATTTTCCCAGCATCAATACAAATATTAGTTCAGTCAAATATATTACCGTATATGTATCATCAGTAGATAATTTTCCATTTTTGTGTTTATTAAATCTTTTGCTTCTTTTTTTTGCCCTTAAGTACCTTTCTCACACCCAGCACCATTGTCCACCCTTCTCCCACACTGCCTTTAATATCTACAGTTGTTCTCCATGCCTTTATACCTTCCAGTCTTTCAGTTTCTGTCATAGAGTACAGACATTCAGTATGTATTAAGTGGGGACATGCAATGCTTCTCTTTCATAGTCCGGCTTGCTTCACAGAGCATTAAATCTTCCATATTCATTCACTTTTGATCAAATGCAGAGTCTCTTTGTTTTTTACGACTGAGTAGTAGTTCATACTATATGTGTGTGACACTTTTGTTCATGAACATTTGGGTTAATTCCATGTCTTAGCAATTGTGAATAATGCTGCAATAAACATGGCTGTATAAATGTTTCTTTGACTGAGTGTATTCCTATCCTTTGGGTGGATACCCAGGAGTGGAATTACTGGATCATTAGTAGTTTATTGGGTTGTCAGAAAAATTATGACATAGTTTTGCACAGAAAAACATTTTAAAAAATCATGACTTTTCCAGCAACCCAGTATTTGTAGGTTTTTGAGGAATCTCCATATTGTTCTCTACAGTGGTCGTACTAATTTACATTCCTACCAACAATGCAAGAGAGTTTGCTTTTCACCACAGCCTTGCCAATGCTTTTTTTTTCTTAAGAGCTTTTTTGTTTGTTTTTGTTTTTCTTTGTTTGTTTGTTTTTGCTCCAGGGTACATGCGCATGCCAGAGACAGAGAGAAACAGAGAGAGAGAATATGAGAAATCACTCCCTAGGGAATGGCCATTTCACAATCCCTTCCCCTCCGTTCTCTCTCAGGATTTTGGGCATACATGTACACGCACCTGGCATGAATTTCAAGCTTCCAGGTCCGGGACTCAAACTGTGGTAACCATGTGGCAGTCCAGTGCTTCAACCACTTTACCACCTACTGGTCCTCATTCTTTATTTTATTAATCTTAGCCATTCTGGCTGGGGTTAGATGGTATCTCATTGTCGTTTTGATTTTTATCTTTCTTATGATAAGGGATGTTGAGCATTATTTTCATATGCTTTTTGGCTTCCTTGCAGAGTTGTCTGTGCAGCTCATTTTCCCATTTTTTAATTGGATCAATTAGTTTTTTATATACAAACTTCTTGAGTTCCCTGTATATTCTGTTAATAAGTCCCTTCTGTTTTCTCACTGGATTATCTTGTGCCCTTTGTCAAAAATCAGTTGGATGTATGTTTGGGGGTTTATTTCTAGGTTCTCTATTCTGTTCTATGGTCTACATGTCTGTTTTTGTGCAGTACCACGCTGGTTTTACTACCACAGCTTTGTAATGTATTTTGGGGTCATGGAGTGATATGGCTCCTACTTTATGTTTTTTTCTACAGTGTTTCTTTGGTGATACAGGAACATTTATGGTTCCATGCAAATTTTATGATTTTTCTTTTCTAATTCTGCAAAGAATGAATCTGGTAATTTGATCAGGATTGCATTAAATGTGTAATTAATTTGGGTGGAATTGACATTTTTATTATATTAATAATTCCAGTTCAGGAACATGGCATGACCTTTCACTTTTTTGTATCATTTTCAACTTCCTTTTAAGTTTTTCATCATTTTCCTTGTAGAAATATTTGACTTCTTTGGTGAGGTTTATTCCAATCTTGTTTCTTTTGTGGCTATTTTAAACAGAATTGCTTTCTTCAATTCTCCCTTAGTCTGTTCACTATTGGTGTATAGAAAAGCTATAGCCGACATGAGTTTAAGCCACCAGGTCTGGGACTTGAACCACGGTCAACTACATGGGAGTCCGGTGACATAGCCATTACACCAACTGCTGGTCTCTCTTTTGGATTTTCTGTGTATATAATCATGTCATCTGCAAGCAGAGATCATTTTACTTCTTTTCTTATTTGAATGCCTTTTATTTTATTCTCTTGTCTGATTGCACTGGTTAGGACTTCTAGTACTATACTAAAAAGCAACGGAGAAAGTGGGCAATCTTTTCTTGTTCCAGTTTTTAGTGGAAGAGCTTTCAGTTTTGCCCATTCAGTATGATATTAGCTGTAGCTTTTTGTGTATAGCTTTTACTGTGTTGAGAAAAGTCCTTTTTGTACTGGTTTTGCTGAAAGCCTTAATCATGAAGGGATTGAATATTGAATATTATCAAATGCTTTTTTTGCATTGATTGATATGCTCATATGGTTTTTATCTTTCTTGCTATTAATATGATGTATTACATTTATGGTTTTACATATGTTGAACCTTTGCATCTCTGGCTAGAATATAATCTTGGTGTAGGTATGGTATATAATCTTTTAAAAATGTTGTTGGATATGGTTTGCTAGTATCTCGTTGAATTTTTGCATCTATATTCATCAGGGGTATTGGTCTATAGTTATCTGTTTTAGTGTTGCCTTTGGGAAATAAGGGTCTGTTTGGGCAATAAGGGTTATGGAGGTTTAT